TACCCGACCGCTAGGGTTAAATCACCTGTTTAAACCGGGGTGAATAATACTAAACAATTAGAAATAAACTAAAATATTAATTTGATAATGAGTATTAAATCATATGTAAACATTAATCAGCTGACGGCGTAAAAACACAGAAAATCAATAAAAACAGCTGACTGTAATAAAAATGCAAATCTACGAATATATTTATGTATGAATTCCGAATTAAAACACCGAGTTTGTTTATGTTAAGATTTGTAAAATGAGAAGTAGATTAAATAATCCCCATCTAAAACAAATTTCCCCACTACACAGCTACAAGGAGGGGGGAAATAATAAAAAAGAAGGGACGGGGGGGGGGAAGTTGGTGCTCCCAGAAATGCATATTTCGGAAACCCTATGACATTTGAATTTAAGAAAGAAAGAAAAAAGAAATTATTTTTGTTCACTCGACCGCGGGTTTGCCTTTGTATACGCTAGGAGGTAACTATAGCCAGGTAAAAATTAAAAATTAAAGACCCGAGAAAGCGCTAAAATGGTTTTATCGCCCTGCTCATAACCACCCTTCACACCTGACTCATTCCAACTGGGGTTGGTAGGGTAGGCGGGAGATTCGGCCACGCCTACATAACAAAAAAACAAGACATATTGGGTCATGTGGGTCACTATATCACTGTCTCACTATCCTATATGAACGGCCGGGTGGATTGGAAGCGACTGAACATTCAGCCCTCTCCCCCCTCTTCCCGGCATAGATACCGCGGTCGGCGGGTTCAGAATTTTAAAAAAGTACTTTATGTCTCTAAATTTAGAATTTGAAAAAATATTTACAGTCATTTTTGTTGTTGTAATTTAATATAAATCAATTTGTTCAAATTAAAAAAATTTTTTTTTCTCAATCAATTGTTGCACGGAACTTAAATACTTTTCATTTTTTTAATGCAATGAAAAAAAGTTAAATACCTTTTTTTAGTAGATATATGTAAGCATTTAATTGTGTCTGTAAATAAAAATATAAAGAATGAAATTTATTATTGCAACTAAAGGACGTTTTAAAAAACTATCAAAGAAAATGAGCTTTTTCCTCAAACTCTATAATTTTTTAATTATTATATCTTTTCTATCCGGTGTTTTAGACCTTTTATTTCAAGCTATGAATTCTGTAAGATCAAATAGTCTAATTTTAAAATATAAAAGGTTCACACCATCAGGTTGCAAAGAAAACTTGAGATTGTGGCAAAAAACCCAAACTCAAACTAAATTTAAAAATCAATTTTGTTTATATTTTGTAAATTGTAGGATAATTTGCCATAATATATTGAATATAGTATTCTAATCATATGGATAATGATAAATTCTCTTCTTATTAAGTATCTTCATGGAATAGCATAACATTTTTCAATCATAACTTAATTTTCCCATTTATTGGCTTAATATCATTCTCCTAAAATGATGTAAAAAGAAGCTTAATACAATTTAATATTTCATGGAAAAACTAACAAGTAGAAATACTACCAATGTGAAAATATTTTTTCTGAAACAGTTTTTTAATAGAAAAAAATATGGACACATATCCTAAAATTCAACTATTAAAAAAATATGTTTACTAATACTCTTTTCTTATTTCTAGCACTTTAAGAGCTATTTCTAGAACTTTGATAGAAACTTTTGTTCTATAATTCTAAAAAAGGACAACAATTCTTACATAGTATGAAGTTTGTTTTAAATATTTCAATCAAAAAGCTCTTTTTATAGTGCATTTTGTTTAAACTATTAACCATTTGAATATTTTTAATAGTGTGGTAAACTTTAACATATCAAAAGTAAATTAAACTCCATTAAACAGACGTAGAAGGTCAAAGAAATTGAGTCTTTGTCGCAGACTCAAATTACTAATCCTAATATCTGTGCCATCTGATGATGTAAACCTTTGATATTTCAAAATTAGATTATTTGATCCAACAGAATTCATAGTTTGAAATATTTAAGGTTTAAGACATTGGGTTGCATTGCAAAGATATAGGGATTAGAAAATCAGGGGTTGTGGCAAAGACTCAATTCCTTTATGCGATCATATTGGTGCAACTTTTTGACTGCTAAGCTCCTAGATCTAGAGAACCAAATTTATTTCGTTACAAGGTAGAAATACTAAAACATTTTTGTTCTTCTGTGATATGTTAGGTTATAATTGAAAAATATAAGATTCTAATATACTTTAAAAACTTTTATTTTACGTAATACCTTCAAAAAGCAACATTATTAAGTAAATAAGTCTTTTTTTGAAATTTTATCGTAAAATTATGATTGGAACGACCAGAAAATATTAATTTAGATAGATTTACAAATCGTAAAAATAAACATAAAAAAATAGTATTAACTCTAAACTAAATGACAAAAATAGTTCAAATGAATATATAATAACAAGAAAAAATCTGAAAGTTGAAGAGATGATTAAACATACATCAATTTTTATGTTTACATATGAACTCAATTTTAGATGTTTTCTGATTGATAAGCTTTTTAATAAAAAAAAACATTTTTTGAAAGATTTAAAGTGTTATCATTTCTCCAAATACGTCGTATAATAAGTTCTTTATATCTATATAATAGTATTTGGTTCTATTAAGAGAGTTTTATTGAAAACCTAATCAATATCAAATGTGATTATGTTCAAATGCACAACCAATTTGATATAAAATATCAAAAAATTATTAAACGTTTATAAAAAATAATCATCTTTCCCCCTCTTTTTTCCATATCATCAATATCAACAAATATTGCCATCATTTTGTGTCTTTATTATGTGCTTTTATAAAAGTTTATTTATGCACAGTTTCCTGTTATTTTAAGACTTTTTAAATCAATACTTTTGCCTCGTGAGGCATTTTTGACATTATTGGGGTCAAAAGGAAAAAATGGAAAGTGTTTATAGACAAAAAGAAAAACTACAGCACACCTTTTTTCTCTAGATTTGAAAATAATGTACTGCAGTTTTTGGGAGGAATGTAAAAAAAACTTGGTGTACTCCTTCAAAAAATAGCAGTACATTAACATTCTGAATACAAGTAGGAGGGTTTCTGGTGTATATCATATTGGTTCTTGATGTATACTTTTAGGTGTT